TACTTACAACCTAAAAAGCGTGCATTTGCAACCCCGCTGCCGCCGACGCAGCGTGACCTGAAACTTTCACAGGTCGCGACGACAGACTTGATGTCTGACTTCCGGAACTGATTGCTCGACTCATCGTGACACAGACACTGCCAGCAGATCTGCAATGGCCGGTCCATCCAGTCAGCATACTCGACCTGCTGACACTCCAGGCCATTGTCCAGAATGTCAGCAATGGCCGGGTCCGACATCCAGGCTGGCGTGTCTGACGCCGACGCTGTCTTGCCTTCAGCAAGCAGCGACGTCCGGATGCCTAAGTCCGTCAACGTCAGCCCCCTAACTATTGCTAATACTGAAGACAAACATTGCTTTAGATCAGAGCCTGGCTGCCTTTGACCTTGACAAAGGCCGCGACACTCTGCTTGCCGTTGTCGATCAAGCGTCGTGAGTCGACGGCCGACAAGTCACTCGGACCCAGGATGGTGACGCCGACAAACAGACTCTGACCCCACTGACCGGAGGTGATGTTGTCGACCAATCCATCGACACAGACACTGTCGATGGATCTCCATCCGCTGTCGTGCTCAAGGGAGAGGTCCTCCAAGAGGATCTTGACCAAGCACTTCTTGGTCGGTGCCACAAGCTTCCTGGCCATCGCGACACACAGACGCAGGCCGACCCTGGAAGACTAGCTGACACGCTGACCACTGAAGCAAAAGTGCCACGGGCAGACATGCTCCTGCAATGTATGCAACGCTGCCACACACCCGCATGGCACAAGCTTCAGCACTGCGACTCTCATTTTCTTGAAACCTCTGCGACGCGCTTTAAGTTCTTCGAATGTACGACACTGACACATGACACAAACGTCATGGCGCTGGAAACCCCGCTCAGCTGCTCAGGAAAACCGCATCGACGCCAGGCACACAGCCATCACACTGCCGACATTGGCAACGTGCATGGCGTTGCCCAGCAAGGGAATTGTGAGCCGAGCCGCCTGGGTATCTTGCTCTACACCCAGAGCTGCCGCAAGCTCAGGCCGGGTGGGAAAACCGAAGCAGGCGGCAAGCTCACACGCGAGCAGGAACCTGAGGCGGCTAGTGGTTCTTTCAGTCGCTGATTCCGTACTACTAGTTGCTAGTCTGGTCTAGTTGACTCTTCCTGGGTCCTACCATTGTTGCTGAGAGACCGTTTCCTGGACGGAGACCAGAGCTTCGCCCCAGCATGTCGAGTCGTCGGCAAAGCGCCGCCAGAGAGAGTCCAGCTGGTCCGCTTAACGGGGTTTTGTGACAAATCGAAGAAGACATAATCCTGATCTGCATCTCCTGTAGTAAACGGGAAAGGCGCTTGACTAAGACAATATACTATTTCGCAGAGAGTTTGTCACTCAAATCACACACGCCTTGCTTCTGTTGGCGCCGGGCAGTGAAGTCGGCGAGACGTTGCTGCTCCGCGTCTGACAACCTTCCCGACAACATGAGTTGCGTGTCTGAAGCAATAGCGTAATGCTGCTGAGAACCATCTCTCAAAATCTAAATCTGGTTTAACTTATCTTTCAGCGATAACTGTAACTAGCAACGAGAAATGGAGAGACTGGTTCCAGGTAGGGAACAGATACGTCCAGTCACACGCCGACATCGAAGCTGGTTCGAAGCCTCTTCGCCGACGCAGATCATTCTCGGCTGCCAGACACTCCTCCGCAGAGGCGATCAACGCGGCCGCAGCGTTCGGCCTGTCGACTCTGGCATTGAAGTAAGCCTTCACCCGGTCATACGTTTCTTGGAGGTCCACAGCCAGGTGAACCTGCTCCTTCCGAAGCAGGAGGACGTAGAGACGAGGCCGCGCTATCATCGTGAAGCCGACGTCCGACGGGCTGACACGTAGTGAGTGGATGCTGTAAAGGTCAGATAACAGCTCCGTGCACAATCGCAAGGGTGGAGATCCTGCACTCACCCATTGATTGATCCAACACATTATAAACCATTGTTTGAACAAGCGAACTGTAGCACTACGGGCCTCCAGCAAGCCGACATCGAAGTCTTGGACGTTTTCATGCAAGGCCCATTGGACTGGATGCTGGCCTCAGACCAGATGAGTAGGATGGGGCAGAATCAACACCGCTCCATTCATCCGTTTGTCAAAGCAAGCTGACAGACAGAATCAGAATAAAGCTCTGAGATGCGGTTCCGTCACGCATCTTGTGTGCCCAGACCAGAACCGCAAGCACCCGAGGGTCATTCCGACGCAGACGTCGGCCAGCTCTGCTGAAGGGCTGGCAGGGTGACCCCGATATGTCTGCATTCGCACCCCAAGCATTGCAGAGATGTCCATGTTTGAGGCATTGCTGTAGACACAGGCGCTGGCCCGCAAGGGACTTCCAGACATCCTCAACGATCAGGTTTCCCGCACGGACCTCTCGCACGTCAGAGATGCAGTGCGTGACGTCGTTGAAGATGCAGGCATGTGTATTCTGCAGCCTGGCCTTCAAGATATCGACGCAGGAACGGGCCTTGTCCACGACAAAAGCCGTTGTCCACGAGGCTGACCCTGCCACAAATTGCGGCAGGTTAGCATGGACGACGCCGACGGCCACTTCCACTGTGCCCACACCAGAAAAGTGGCTGGACACTGTCATATCTCTGGTAAGCCCACTGCCTCGGAAACCGGTGATATCAACACATAATTGTTCTCTGTCTTTGGAAGACCAAGACGATGAAAAACAAATACTTGTTTGTCCAAGACACCGGCCATTCCTTCTGGCCCAAACATCTGACACAGACATGCCAGAAGTATCTGGGGCCATCGGAACGCGGACTCCAGTGCCGACACCGACACTTGAGGAGCAGTTCTCAAAGCAACATTCCGACCCTGCTGAAGCGCATCATCCAGCCGGCGTTTGTGGGGCTTTGCCGACGAGGACGACGAAGCAAGTTCGACGTGGTCCTTGCCGGTGTTTCAGTGACGGAGCCCCAACAATAACAAACAGAGGCTCCAGCAAAAGACATTTTGCATTGTTGTCGAAACCAAGCCACATCATCCTCTGTAACATCCATCTGGGCTGATGCCGTGTCATCATCCTTTTCATGCTGCATGAAGCTACAGGTAGACTAATTCATTTATTCATTAGTTAGTTGCATATTATATGCAGACATATAATATACAGACTGCCGGAATGGATCAAACTCGGACCGCAATATCACCGTCCTCGTCAAAGACAAAGAGTCCACTGTCGGACTCATCATCAGCAATGTCCATGCTGGCACCTTTGATAGTGAAAAGTTGTCACGCATAGTCTTTGTGGTCGACACAATCCCACAATATCACGGATCTCTACCTCTCTCTCTTCTCTCCCTTTTTGCAAGAAGCACGCTGTGTCTGACTTGTCACGGGCTCTCTCAACTTGAGTTTTCAAAGGAGAATGCCCATAAGACTGTGAAACGTCACTTCGTGAAGCGGGCTGACAGCCCATTGGTCTGACTGACGCCGAATGCATGAGATCTACCCGGCAGCTTTCGGCTTCGTTTTGGCGCTTTTGGCCTTCGCCGCTGCAGTCTGGGTCTTAGCCTCAGTAGTTGTCGAATTTGTTGCACTACAACTACTAAGTCTAAGTCTCGTCCCTTTCTTAACTTATTGGCTCTAGATTCTAGTCTAATGGACGAAGGATAGGAAACCATGCCAAAATAAGGAAACCATGCCAACAATCCGGGGCAGGAAGCTTTTGCGGCCATTGACCCCGACGCAGGCATTGAGGCTATCGACCCCGACGAGGCAGGCTTTGCGGCGGTCGACCCCGAAGACGCCGACGACGCAGGCGCCCAGCTGGCAGAAGACCAAGTCTCCGCCCGCTGGGACTTCCATGCCTTGCCATCGTCTGACTGCAGCCACTCCCTCAGCCGATCAGTCTACATGGCCGTCTGCTTCTTCCTGGAGACCGACGCTGACACTGGGAGGGCATCCAGCACGCCCTTGTTCGCCAGCTGACCCTGAAGCTGGTCCATCAGCCTGTCCACGCTTGCCGGCAGCTCCGCCTGCTTAGACGCAGACTTCAGCCGTCGGATCATGGTCCTGTTGGTGACGCCGACGGCTGAGGGCATGTCCACGGGACGCAGCAGGTCGAAAACGTCCTCTTCGTCGTAGCGGGCCGCGGCATCCAGGCCGACGCTGTGGAACGTCGACGCTGTCGCATCCAGCTGACGAACACGGGCCAACGCCGACTCAGACGCCCAACGCCGTCTGCTGCGTGTCCTCTCCTTCAGGCTCCGATGACCGAGTATACGAAAAAATTACATCACTGCCTACCTACTATTAATACTTATTATTATACAGGCTGTTGCCAGATTCGAACAGCAGCAGAAAGGTATAAAATTTTCTGAAAATGGCCATCAGATTCCATGACAGCAGACACCTCCTTCACGATGAGCTCGTCCCGCGGGTTCCCCAAGACATTGACGCGGGCGGCCGACAGCAGGAGCTTGTCGACGTAGACCCTGGGAGCCATGTGCTCCCGAGGATTCCAGTGCAGATGAGCGATGGAGCCAAGTCTTTCAACGATGGAAGAGGCTGGATTCAGCATCCGATACCTGTGGTGAATGCGACCCGCGTGCCACGCCGATACTGACCCCGTAGCAGACGCTGACGGCTGGCCCACATGGAAAAACTTGTGCATGTCGACTGTAGCACTGACAGCTGCAGAATTGACTGCGAACTCCTCAGTTCAAAAAATTGGACCCGGCATACAGCCACATATTTAACATCAATAATCACGATGCTTATGTTTTCTTTCGAAGCTTTATCGTGGCCGAGCCCAGAATCCATCGTGTCGACAACGACAAGCTTGCCACAGTGGGATCCTTGGCAGATGGTCGCGATGCTGCCGACTGCCATCATCTGCATGTCCAGGATATCACGCTTGCGCTTCTTTCGCATTCCCCCGACAGGACCCAAACCTCGCGCACACAGTCTGGCACAGGTTCAAGAGAACATGCCAAACATTCATGAAGCTGACACTGAAACTAATCACCACCGAGCACATGGCAGGAGGGCGACAGCTGGAAGACCTCGTAAGCTGAAGCCGGCAAAGTCGAACCGGCAACTGACCCACAGAAAAGAGAGATGGCCGAAGCAATCTTCTTCAGTGAGACGACGCTGACGGATGGGCTCCTGATCTTCTTCCCGACCAACGCCTCGACGCTGCCCAGCACATAGAGCGATCTCACGCTGACGGACTGCAGGACGAACCATTCTGCCACCGCAGTCTGCACAACCTCCTCCGGCGCCGTCTTTTGCTTGCTGCCGTCAAAGCTTCCGCTCCAGCCCTGACGCCGGAATGCTAGGGAAGCCGTGCATCGGACTCTCTCACAAAGCCAACCATATTGCAGCAGCAGAACATTCTCTGGCAGGTCCCATGTCCTCTTGACCAGGGCATAGTCAGACGCTGACGCTGGTGGCCAGAGCGAATGCTGCAAGAAGGGCTTCAACATGCCCAACACATTGCGGAAGGCGTCCGCGTGACGCTTGAGAGGACGCTGGAAGCAGAGGAACCCCCAATCGAAGCAATCATCACAGGCGTCCAGGACTTGCAGCATCTCGGCATTGTAGGCTTTGTTTGTCAGGCCTTCAGACAGCTGACCGATGCTGTCGATGACAAATTGACGCATTGCCGCTAGGCCTTCCAGGATGTGACGATGCGACTCATAGACACCCAGTGGAACCTTGCATCTGGATGTCCATGAGCAAGGGCACGCACCCCTGCGGCGCCACGCCACCAAACCATCTGCGTCAGTATGCGGGCAAGAGCTAGCCCTGCGATCACGAACATGGACCCTGAAGATGTTCGTAACACCTTGTTGCTGGCTGGCCTCCTCGCGTGTAACCAGCTGGTATCGGGGCATGTGGTAAGGCCAGTTGGAATCCAATCTTGCATTCGTCCAGAGGGGCACCTGCAGTCTCACCTCAGAATATCATCGCCCGTCAGTCAAGCAAACCAACGACGTAAAGGACAGAAGCAGCGTTGATGATATCAGAAAAGTTTTCCCTCAAGAGCAATGCCAGCAACAACATTACACCACAAACAGACCAAGGTGACTAACTGCGTTCGCCGCCGTCGTCCTCCCAAAGTCGCAGGTAAATTCAGAGTCCAAGACATCCTGTTCGACCTCGCAGCTTCCTGCCCACGCCCTCGCAGGTGCCGGGCTCGCATACCACATTGACAGTGTGGGCCCAGAATAATGCTTGCTGGATCGCTTTCGTATAGCCGGGTCAGACTACAGCCTCCAAAGCTTGGATTCCTGTCGAAGATAAGGGGCATCAGCCGCGGCAGCAGCATGCGACACGGACGTAGAGCTGACCAACTGAACATCGCCTTGGCATAGCTCCGCAAGTCCGACTCGCCGACGTGCTGACGCAGCAAGCAAAAAAAAAAAAAAAAAACCGGCAAGAAGTCCAGGGCGACACTGAACGACCGCAGTTTTCTGAGCATGTCCTGGCCCGAAGTTTTCGCAGCTCGAGGCTCTATCAGCTTCTGGGAAATGAGGACGTAGGGCGACACTGCCTCCTCCATCAGCATCTCGAAAGGCACTAAAAAGGATACCACGTGCAGTCTTGTTATCTCGTCAAGCTTTGTGTTTTATTATATAAGGCAATCACTTTAAACGTCAACAAAACAAAAAATGAACATATTGATTCTCGCTGCGGTCGCCAAGAGACAAAGCTGATGTCTGTGACTCGGCGGCTCACAGACAGCAGGCGCTCCAAAGTGGCTGAGCCCTTGCCTTCGTGCTTCCAATGGATCCTGGCGTGCAAGCAAAGCACTATGAGCTTGAAGTTCTTCACCAGACTCAGACGCAGGTACACCATTTTTCTGGTCCCACTCAGTCTCGGAAGCTTGACGAAGGGAATGCCGACCCTGTTGGCGACGCTCTCGAACAGGACCTTGCCTTCCCCGACGCCGAACAAGGTGTCCAGCTCCGCCACAATTTGTAAAACTTCCGACGCTGACGGGCTGGAACGAACCGCCCTGGACAGGCAAATATCCGCAACATGAAACCTGTCCCATGCAGTTGCCTCCCACTCCAGAAACAGACCGCTGAGGCCGTCCTCGTGAATGGTTTGCCATAAGCGCTCTGCGACGCCGGAGGATCCATGGGCAGCTGCCGAGCCACCTCGAACGATTTGTCCGTCTCCTCCGACGCAGGCACAACGACCCCGAAGCGAATGCAGACCCAAACCAGCGGGGTGCGAGTCCAGGATCTTCTGGATGAGCGCCTGCAGAGGCTCAAAGTTGTGCCCACCAAATGGCAGTATTTCCGCCCCGACCATTGGGCCCACAAGGCCGCCAGTCGACGGGGAGCATATACACAAGGCGACGACCGCCAGACTGTACTGACGGCTGAAGGCACCTGCATCCATGTTGACAGGGTCAATCAGGAGAGCGAAGTCGCTAGGGATACCCAAGCCGTTCAGAGGCTCCGACCACTGAAGCGCATCCATCTCCTGAAGGACCCTGGCCGACCAGTAGATCGCCTCGTCGTAGAAGCCCGTCAGCGCCAGACCCTGAAGCTGACACTGACCAGGGATGCCAGACGCCTGCTGGGCCTGAAGGTGTCGAGCGACTGCCCTTTCGAAGGAGTTTTGACCCTGGCGCTCATAAGCACATCCCAGTGCCAGGCGTACAGTGACTTCACATTCTTGCCGCCAGGTTGGACGCTGCTGGTGAACAACGCTGACATCAGGGTGGTTGTCAGGCTCCTTCCCTGTTGGCTGCCCACCGTTTACGTCCACCAGCTGCACCGTTCGCTTCAACAGCGACACTGAAACACCGAGAAGGTGTGCAGCCAGAGCTTGGGCATGCGATGCCTGTCTTCTTGGCACATCCAATGCCGACGAAACACGCCTGAGCAGCTCAACGGACAACCGACCACAGTTCCGAACTGCGTTCACCAGTAGCACCTGGCCCTGCTCAAGCAACGGGGCCTGCCGAGAAATCCAGTGTCCTGTGTTTCGACCCTGGTTCCACTCCGAACGGCCACCAGGATCTTCTTGTTGATTCGCCCCGTCGTCAGATAACAGACCCTGGCCTGAGTTCCGAAAAAAAACCAGAGTGTATTACTGACTGATTAGCGTCTTTCCCGGAAAATTATTAACAATGAACATGATGCTTCGAGGGGCTGCGAGACGACGCAGCATCACTTTCATGTTGCAGACAGTCATCTTCCTGGAACAGATCCTGGTCCGACGCCGACGCTGGTGGCGGGCTGGAACTTGCCAGGGAGAGACTCGCCGAATGAGCCTCATCATCAGACTGCCGGAGCAAATCCTCGTCACTGCTCGCAGTCGGCGGGTCTGCTTGGCCAGGATACCGGGACATGTGATGTCGGCATTGGCTAATAATGGCTAACTACGTTGTTGTTTTCAGACTTCATGGTCTGACAGCTGGTAATTATAATGACAGTTGACATTAGACAGAACACTGTGCCGTTTATTATACGCACTTACGCAGTTATCTGCCGAGTCTACCACTTTAGCTTCTGTCAAAGGGTTGTCTCATGTTTCCTGCGAGCCACATCACAAAGCGACTGCCAAAGACAGGGTCCAATTAAATACCCTTACCTCGCCTCTCCCTCTTCTGACTTTGGAGTTGTAACTAGAACCAGACGTGTGGTAAAATAGCATGCCTTGCCTCAACAACAACACAAGTGCCAATGCTACTGAAAGGAAATAGACTCGAGCTAGTTCATTATTTGACAATTTTGTGCGACACCTGCACACGGGGCACGATGCGGCCGGTGCTCACAATGGGCAAGCGCACGCAAGCGAAGAGGCTTTAAAATTGGGGTTCCGAACCTCGCTCAGACACGAGCCGACCCAGCTGAGATGAATGGTGTTTAACACACAGCAAGCCGCGATTCGGGTCGGCTGGTCGGCGGGCTCGGGGGTTCGGAACCCCCGGAGTGGGCCGT